TATCGGCGCCCCAGTACCCGAAGACGATATCATCCTTGATCTACAGCTTACCAAACAGCTACGAACAAGTCATCACAAGCCTCAGAGCAGGGCTGACAACTTAGACATGGAGTTCTTGACGGCCAGACTTCTGAATGAAGAAGCTAGGCGCAAGGAGAACTCGAAACCAGTCGAACCCAATGATCAGGGCGCCATTATCGAATCAAGAGACGTCCAGTTCAATGAAAACAAGTTCTACAACAGCCTGGACAACGAAGATACACATGAAGACACGTCAGATCGCTCTTATGACAGCTTAGCGAGCTTTGATTTGATCCTGAGCCTGACAACATCCTTTCACACGCACCCATGCTCACAGACACCGCAGAATTACGCTCGCACGCTGCAGGGGGGGAATCTGAGCTTCCTGACGCATCTGCCAACCTACAACCTGACACTGATCAATGGGCAGAGGCCCCAGAGGACCTAGACGACCAGGAAGACCAGGGAGATGACGACTTGGTGCACTATGGACGCATCACACGCTCCCAGAGCACTCGAATACGCCAAAGCAACCTTGTCTATGCCCTGGCTACCGAAGTACTGCACACAGAGCCCAAAACCCTCAAGCAAGCTCTAAACTCCAACGACTCAGACAAGTGGAAGGAAGCCATGGATGCTGAATACGCATCCCTTGTCAAGAACGGCACCTGGGAGCTCTGTCCAGCACCAAAAGATCGCAACCTTGTCGGATGCAAGTGGATTTACAAGATCAAGACGAATGCTGATGGCAGTATCGAACGCTACAAGGCCTGACTAGTCGCCCAAGGCTTCTCACAAGAAGAGGGAGCTGACTACAACAAAACATTCGCACCAGTGGCCAAGTTCGACACCATTCGGCTACTCCTGTCGTGGGGAGCAGCTCAGGACCTCGAAATGGACCAAATGGACGTGTCCACCGCATTCCTGAACCCAACACTCAGTGAGGAGGTCTATATGAAGCAGCCACCGGGCTACATCAAACCAGGAGAAGAGCATCTCGTGCCTAAACTCAAGAAGACACTCTCTGGTCTTAAACAAGCCCCCAGGGAATGGAACATCGAAATCCACGGCACTCTCATTGAGAAAGGCTTCACTCGTCTTGATTCAGACCATTGCGTCTATATCAGGTTCTTGGAGGGCTGGCTACTCATCCTGATCCTCTATGTGGACGATCTCATACTTATGAGCAACAAGAGACTCAATCTTGACAGCTTCAAGGCCAAGGAACTTCAGAAGGCGTACGAAATTCGTGATCTAGGTGCCCTGCACTACTTCCTGGGTCTCCTAGTCACTCGAGACCGAGCCAAACGACTCCTGACGCTCAACCAGACTGGGTACATCCAAAAATGCCTTGAAATATATGGGATGACCGATTGCAAGCCTGTATCAACTCCCAGCGTCGTGGAAAGCCCTCTCACCAAGGAAATGGCACCTCAAACGCCTGAAGAGACTGCAGAGATGCAGAACAAGCCCTATCGAGCCATTGGAGGCAGTCTGATCTACGCAATGATCGGCACAAGACCAGACATAGCCCAAGCAGTTGGAGCTGTGAGCCAGTTCTTAGCCAATCCAGGCAAAGGACATTGGAAAGCTGCCAAACGCATTCTGGCGTATCTCAAGACGACCAAACACTACCAACTTCGACTGGGAGCCGTCCAAGGAACCCTCAAACTCGTGCGATGGTCAGACTCAGACTGGGGAGGCTGCCCAGACACTCGAAGATCGACCACAGGATACCTCTTCACCTTCGACAGTCCAGTAAGCTGGAAATCACGCAAACAACGCACTACAGCACTCTCCTCCACCAAAGGCAAATACATGGCACTTACAGACACCTGTAAAGAAGCCATGTGGCTCAGATCTCAACTCAGAGAACTGAGCACGCACCAAGACAAGACAGGACTCGTCCAAGACCCCACAGTCATCTGGGAAGACAACCAAGGAGCTATGGCACTCGCCACAAACCCAGTTCACCATGCACAAACCAAGCACATCGACATCCGATACCACTTCATTTGTGAACAAGTCGCACACAAGACAGTTACCCTCCAGCACTGCCCAACAAAGAAGATGATAGCTGATGCGCTCACCAAGCCCCTCCCCACGCCAGACTTCACACGTCTGAGAGCTGCGATGCACTTAGAGGCTGCGGAGCCTTCAAGTGAGAGGGAGTATTGAGGTTGCATCAAGATGCGGCACTTAGAAGGCTCTGCAAGACTTAGGACGCGTCTTGGGAGGCTCTGAAGATGTCTGGACCGTTTCCCAGACATCCAGGCGTCAGCACTGCGCTTTCATGATGTTCTTAGAGCTCACAGCGGTCAGTAGTGCCCGTATGGAGCTGTGATCGGGTTGTAGTAGCTAGATTGGGCTTGATTCAGCTTGTGGTAGCCTGTAGCACCTTCCGCGGACTTGGCAGATGCCCATGAGGCATCAGCAGGTACCTGTGAGGCTACACAGACTTGGCAAAACCTTACAAACCTTACCAACCTTAACTGCGGCACTCAGAGACGCCTTGGGTGTTCTGAGGGGGTCTCAGAGGGTGCTTTGGACGCCCCAGCACATAGCTAAATCCCCAAGAAAGAAGCCCCAGATTCGTATAAAAGGCAGACCTGTTGCCCATCCCCTCTCTTCACTTTATCCTCTTCAATACACAGCTTTCTATCGCGCTACTCTTGCCACACTACTGTCTTCCACATCACAACACTGCCCTTTGGGCAGCTACGTCCCTTAGTCATCGGCGAACCAGTCTTAGTGACCTCTCAGATACACCTATATCAGCTAAGGTTTCAATACAAGGTGGCGAAGTCGTATATAGTGCCCAGAAGCCGTCCCGGTATGGGTGTTCCGTATGTCTTATTCGGACGTAGTTGTCGCTGGCTGTCTATTGCTAGCGACACGTCCTTCTTGAATTGCTTGAATAAATTTCGTATGTGTCTCAGGAGGAAATGGTTTCGTGAAGTAATCAGCCAGTTGTTCCTGCGTCGTGGTGTCGAGGAGTATGACGTCCTTCTTCGCCATGCCGTCGTGTGGCTTGTGGTAGCGTACGTCGATGTGTTTGGAGCGTTGAGTAATAGCCGTGAAGTTGGCAATCTTGCGGGCGCTCTGATTGTTGATGTGGATTGGCGTGGGGTCCTTGATGTTGCCATATTCGTTGCCGAAGACCTCCGCGATGATCGAGCGGAGCCGGAAGGCCTTGTTGGAACCGAGGGCTGCGGCAATATACTCAGCTTCCGTGGAGCTGAGAGCTACGCACTTCTGCTTGGTGCTTTTCCAGTAGATAAGCTGGCCGTTGAAGAAGGTGGCGATGCCCGCGGTAGATATGCGGTCGTTGACATCGTCTGCGTAGGATGCGTCTGTATAGTCCAGCTTGATCGGAAGGACCGGACTTGTAGGTAAGCTCGAAGGTGCAGGTACCTTTGAGGTAGCGCATGATGCGAAGTACTCCATTCCAGTCGGCCTGGGTTGGGGCTGAGACCTGATGTGCGACAAGCCGACGGCAGTTGAAATATCCCAGCGCCAGGTAATGGATGCCCACGTGAGGGCCCCCACTGCTTCCTGGTAGAGAAGCTTGTTAGGAAAAGGGGGACTTGCGGAGGCGGGTCTTGTACGCGCCGAGACGGCGCACGGCGTAGAGACCGGTGTAGCGTTTTGTTGTCCAAATCGTTTGAGTAAACCCTCGATATAGGTAACATTGCTGATTCTGAGTTGGTTCCCTGACGGCAAGAGCAGGTAATCAAAGTCTAGACCCATGCAGTTCTTGATGGGACCGAGATCCGTACAGTTGAGATAAGAACATAGTTCACCTTTCACTTGATTGACGTGTACGGGAAAGCAGCAGGCGACGAAGTCGTCCACAAAGATAAGGAGCATCTGGAGGGTGTCCAGAGTGCGCATCGTGCTCGCGTAGCGATAGAAGACGCAAGGGCAGTTCTTTAGCGGAGTAAAGCCAAAAGAACCTAGGGTTTCGCGAAGGGTACGGTAACAGAGAAGCGGAGATTGCTTCAGACCGTATAGAGCCTTGCGTAAGAGGTATACCCAGTCTGCGCGCGGCTTGTGTGGATCTTCGTAGCCTTGAAATTGTTCAACATAGACGGGGCCGTCGATGTCGCTGCGTAAGAACGCGTTGGGGACATCCAGTTGATGGATTTTCATACCGAGAGAGACGGCAATGGAGAGGAAAAGGCGAAGAACCGACATGGGTAAGGTTGGAGCGTAGGTGTCGTTATAATCAATACCCTTGGATTGACAAAAACCTTGAACGACGCCGCGGCCCTTGAATTTCTTGAAAGTACCGTCCGGATTGAAGATTTGAGGAAGTACCCAAGTACTACCGAGTACGCGCTGATCGCGCGGATGGGGTACGAGCTCCCAAGTACCGTTGTCGACGAGAGCTTGGAACTCTTTATCAGCTGCGAGCTTGAAGTCAGCTGATTGAGGGGAGGCCACCGCTTGGCGCCAGGTGATAGTGACGGATTGAGGCGTGTCTTCGGTACGCGCATTGAATGCGTTCGAGAGGGCCTCAATGGTTCGGGCGTTGAAAGCGGCTGGACGAGACTCCCAGATGTCCAACGCTTCAGTCTCAATGAGATCGGAGCGTGGTTGCCAGGTAGGGGTAGTAAAACCTCGGCAGTAACAGACGCACTTCTTGGTGACATTGGTAGATATTGTACCCCGCTGAGAGTTGTCGGCGATGAACTTCTGAACGTTGTACAATCTTTAGCCACCTGGGGTTCGGATAACGTCGATCCAACCGCGATCTGCCCAGTTGCGGAGGGTATTGTTGTAGACGCCGAAAGCGCTCCTGGCGATGTGCGTAGGTACATATTGTGGGGATGACATGATGCTTTACTTTCTATGTCATTGTTAGGTTTAAGTAGGCGGATTTTTTCATTTATGTACACACGATTCAGAACGAGTGTTAATGTTACATATATTTTGCTACACAGCCCTTTCGACCATTTTCAAAGTCCCCGATTCCATTACCGCCTCAGACCGCTCTGTTTCCACCAATCGAGCACCGCAACGTGACCATTCCTGCTAGCCCAATCGCACGCATACGCTGTCCACTGCATCTCTAGTCCGCTTTGTTTCCACCAATCTAGGACAGCGACGTGCCCAGTTTCGCTAGCCCTATCACGCGCATCCGATGTCCACTTCATCTCCAAACCAGTCTGTCTCCACCAATTGAGCCCAGCGACGTGGCCATTCCCGCTCGCCCAATCGCAGGCATCCTTTGTCCACTGCATCTCCAGACCGCTCTGTTTCCACCAATCGAGAACATTGACGTGTCCATTCTTGCTAACCCAATCGCACACATACGCCGCAGTGCACTTCATCTCCAGCCCCCTCTGTTTCCACCAATGGAGCACAGCGATGTGACCGTTCCTGCTAGCCCGATAGGACGCTTTGTCTGTCCACTTCATCTCCAGGCCACTTTGTTTCCACCATTCAAGCAGGTCAACGTTCCCACGTTCAGCGGCACAATCTGGAGCGCATTGCGGTAGGCGTGGGATGCAGGAGTCGCGCACATGGAGTCTGCAAAGTATAACTGCGATGCGGAATCGTTCCTTGACGTCGTCCACGTGGAGCAGAACCGTATCAACGACTTCCAGTGGTACTTCCGTCATGGCGGAGATATGGAGTTGACGGCCCGGGCAGAAATCACTCTTGACTCTTAGCTGAGATGGGAGAAGAGGGAGAAGTGACGTCGAGACAAGACACAGTCTGGAAACCGATGGAACCTTTCTCAATGTGGCACAAAAACCCTTGTTAACCCCAACCGACGGTCTCCACTATATAATTTACGGTGCGAACCCTCTCATCCGTTTGTCTCCGAAGCCGACTCCTCGCCATGTTCTCCTATTTGGTCCGCTGCTTGTCCATCATCTCTTTTACCGCCTTCTCCTTCGCCGACCACAGCGTTTCGAAACACTCTTTGAACAGATCAAAGTTCTCCACCACCATGCATTCAAACGGGAACGTCTTTCGCACTCCGGGAAATGCTTCCACCAGCCAATGAGCTTGTGCAGCACGCCTGGTCAAAATCTCAACGGTGCGCGCGTGTACATGCTCAACGTTTCGATGCTCGATTGTGGCGTCACAATGCTCGAGAAACGCAGACAACTCGTCATCCGTGTCAGGGAGCGATGCCGAGACGTGACCTTTGCCCTCGTCGCGACGCCGTTGAAGCTTTCCATGCAATTTTTGAAAGGCCGTCGCGTAAGAACCTTGCAGCTTCTTCAAAGTGCTTTGGGGAGGGAAATGTGTGGGTTATTTATCTGCTCTCCACTGAAGGATTCCGGTAGCAATAACCAGAATGTTTTCAGGTGCAAGCGCCTCGCCAAGCGTGTTGAACTTCTCCGAAGCTGACCGGCGATCGGCGGCCTGCTGGCGAACCAATTTCTTGGATACCAGCTTAAAGCAGGATCACTTATGGCGTCCATATCATCCATAGAAATGTCGTCACCGGAACTACAGCGGGGGGGGGGGGGGGGGGTGAGGGAAGTTGTGGTGCCGGCGCGGGTCGGTGGCCGCTATCTTTTCCAGTGCTCGTCGAGGGGTTCTGTTTGGGGCTGCTGGCTTGTTTTACCATCTCTTTGACTTCTGTTATCTAGTAAACCGAGAAGATTTAAGAGGAAGAGCGCACCCCCCTACCGTTGGTCTTTTGTAGTTCGCGGCCCGCTGTTTGCTTGTGCGAGGCTTCTTGGCCATGGCAAGGTAGGAGGGATGGACTTGTTCAGTCTTCGAACTACGTAGGGGGTTTTGAGGGGGGGGGGGGGTCAGGCCAGGCGGACAGTGCCCCAAGTAACAAGTACACACAGTACGGTGCATGTGTTGTGCCAGCGAGGTGATAAACATGCAAAAATGGATGCGAGCTGCAGAGATCTGTGCCTGGATGGTCCGTCCGGGACTTCCCTATCACGTGACTTTGATTCAGATCGCTCCACAGCCACCTGGCCAATGCGAACAGTGTACCGCGCTTTCTCTCGACACTCTCGGCGAACACGCGGGGCAGTCTCGTCAGAACACTGGCACTTTGACCCACTTGGAAAGAAGTTTGCCCTTCGTAATTGCAGGACGCAGCTGCCATGTGGTTTGGATTGGAGACGGGATGGTACATACACAGTTGAGTTATTTCTGAAGCAACGGCGTAAACGCACACAAGGTATATACATTTTCCAGTATAAAAAAATGGGCTGCTGGACGCTAATTTACACACATTCACCACTGCTTCTTCAACCCATTACCCTCCACCTCTTCGCCCTCCTCCTCATGAGCCTCGCACTTCCAACCGGAAGCACAGAGCGACTCACCCATCCCATAGCTCACCCCGTTATCCCTCAAAGTGCACAACCTTGCAACCCTCAAATCCAAGCACGCCTTCCAGTTCCTTCGTGAGCGCCATCACCCCCTTATCAAAGCACCCCTCAAACGCACTCGAGCCCGTGTACGGGAACGAGCTATACGCCGCCACCCACGTCTCGTTGAACGCGAGCAGCAACCGCACCATGCACGGCTCCAGTCGAGTTGGTCGTGAAGCAGATCTCGCTCGCGCTCCGGTGCACGGTGGCGATCCCCGGGGCCGGCCATTTGATGTCGATGGGGTTTGACGGCCCGAAGCGAAAACTGTCTTGGCTGCCGGTCTTGAGGGCCCCTGCATTCGAGCGGGATCTGGGAACCGTGGTGGAGGGGGGTGTGGAAGTGGGTTTTGTAGGAGATGTGACCGAAATTTTTGTCGGCGGAGAAGCTGGTGATGGCAATGTCGGCAGGCGCTGATGCGGTGGTGCCGATAGGGCCGAGAGCTAAAGAGAGCAAAGCGGCGGCTGTTGTGAGCTTCATTTTGAGCGGTTGAGGAAAGGGTGGTCTCTTTAACGAGCAAGCGAGAAGAGGTGAGCCGGACGGACGAAGCGCTGAGGCGCCGCCTTTTATACACAACAGAAGCCAAGGTGAGCGGCCCCAGCTTGCGGGCGAGTTCCCCAGCTTGTCCAGTTCACCAGGAAAGTGGGGGAGTGACTTCTACAGTAGGTGGCCAGATATCTGGGTACAACGCAACAAGGACACATCATCCCCAGCACAGGCACCGCCAGAAGTCGCCGGCCCCCATTGAAACCTGCCATCAGTCCCAACCGTAACCCGTCAGTTCTACATCGCTGGCTGGTTGTCCCGGTCTCTCTTGATTTTCTTTTTACCTCTCCCAAACACACAGGAAAAACTGATGTATCAAAAAAACTACTCAGAAACATGAAAGATACAAAGAAACCAAAAAAAAAGAACAGTTGCTATCAAAGTACGCCAGTTACATGCCAGGAAAGTCTATATACAAAAAGCTATTCAGTACTTTGTAGCTCCGCCGCCACTTTCCCACACCGCATGGGTCCTCCTTTCACACTGTCGATATAGGTTGCGGACCATTTCCAGCGGGATCTTGGCCCATTCCTCCTTCAGTGCAGCTGCCAAGGAAGGCTTTCCAGTGGGCAGTGGATTCCTCTGCCGCAGTTTTGTTTCTAGAATCCACCACAGCCGCTCAATGATGTTGAGGTCCGGAGAGCTAGGTGGCCAGTCAGGAAGGAGTGGCAGATTTTTTGCGGCTTTGTGGGCTCTGGTTAGCTTGCTTGTAGAGGGGGGTGATCCGTCCTCTTGAAAGACGAGTGCTGGATTCCATTCTTGGTTTGTTCTCCACCAGAGAAAAAATTTATCGTCAAGGATATTGTCACAATAATACTTGCTGTTGACCTTGCCTTTGACGACATGGATAGGTCCAACCCCGTACCAGGAGATGCACCCCCAGATCATGATAGTACCGCCGTACTGCTGAACCTTAGGGGCAAGGTTCCGTGGCTCGTACTTGGCAGCCTGGCCCCGGTTTTGCCAGATCAGAGTTCGTGTTTTGGAATAGAGAGAAAAGGAGGACTCATCTGAGAAGACAACGTTCTTCCAGTCATCCAAGCCCCAATGCAAGCGAGCTTGCGTCCACGCATGTCGCAAACCCAGTTTCCTCTCGTCCAGGAGGGGTTTTTTAGCTGCGGTGTACTGGTAAAGGTCTGCTTCGTGAATCAGACAACGTAGCGATTTGATGGGATAGTGAGGACCGTTGTTCTCCTCAATGAGCTTCTGGATTTTGACAACGCTGGCTCTGTTGATGTTGGCTACGGTCTGGTAGACCCTAGCAGCATCTTCAACGGTGTATTTGCGAGGTCTGCCCGGCCGCTTTTTGGGTTGTGCAGTTCCGGTTGCCCGGTGTCGCTCAAGGGTTGCTTGAACAGCACGCTTGGTGATATCATACAGTCTGGCAATATTGGCATAGCTTAGCTCAGGGTTGCCGAGGTGGGTGCCAACTATCTGCTCACGTAGGGCAGGGGAAAGTTCTTTGCGGCGGCGGGTTGGAGAATTGTGTTCAGCATCCTCATGGTCTGACGGTGGTTCAACAGGATCAGACCCGAAGAGCTGCCAGTCGTCAGGAGTGGCTTATCTGTGGTTTGGCTGGCTCTCCTCCGCAACTTCAACGTCGTCCGCATTGTCAGAGTCTTTGAGGAGAATCAAGAATTCGTCAAGGTCAAGGTCGTCCAGGGTGGTCATAATGCCAGAGGTTTTGGCGGGGGGGGCCCAGAGTCCTGTTGGCTTCAGGACTCGTTGGGAGTGCTGTAGGAGGTATCCCCAGAACGTTGTTCGCGTGGGTTGAGCAGTTTGCTTTGTGATGCGGATTGCAATTGCGAGATCTTGGTTGGTTTCAAGGTGTCGGTGACGGTGACGGCAGAAAGCAGCCCTGGTCGTTGACTTTTGGGTTGCACACGGAGGCTTGGCGAACCCGTCGTACCCAGATATCTGGCCACCTACTGTATATATACAATATACAACGTCATGTTGTACTGTATGTTTATGACTCTTCGTTGTTTGTGTTTGATTGCCTAGGTGGTTGCACAGCCCACGCCTGCCAGCCCTGACCCTACAGTAAGCCATGGCGGCCCGTCCCTTCCCCCACAAGGTTACGGTAGCTACTGGACGGCAGGCGGACCTAACGGGCGCTGGGACACATGGCCGCCACGGCGAGACGGGAGGTGTTCGACTGCGGCAGGAGGACACACTAGGATTCTTTTCGTCCACTCCGGTCCGGTAGTGCTAAAATCATGGAATCGGAGTGTGTAATCGCGCATGGCCATCCCAATGCCGAATGAAGTGAAGGATGATCGAGTGCGCGAAGCTGAAAATGAAACTCTATGGGGCGATGGGGGGAGCTGAGGAAGAAGCGGAGAGGAGCGGGGGTTGGAGGGGGAGTGGAGGGAGTTTTCTTGCAGCACTTCCCCATCTTCACCGTCACCGACATTCCTTATAAAAGACAGCATACAGGAGCCAGTCCGCTATTTGAGAACGTACAGCAGCGCCACTTTCCCCTTATCGAGCGAGACAAAACTATGTCCGAAGCGGACGTGCGCAAGCTTGATTCGCCACTGGCGTTTCTCAAATTCACACAGGACAGATTTCACGAAGTGTGGGGCCTCATTTTCAGACAACTCGATAAGGCGACGTTGAGGAACTTCCGTTAAGCGAGTTGGTCATTGTGGCAGGCGGTTGAACGCGAGACCGGAAAGGGAGTACAAGCACGAATTCAGGAGGGCGAAATCCGAGAAGGCGCCAAATTTCCGCTCAGCGAGCTCTTGAATCTGCGGCTTGTTCCGGGAATTGAATCAAGGATTCGAGACCAATTCACTGAGCGTCTCCAAACTGAATTCCAAAAAAGGCATCCCGATGTGTTCGCCGGAGACTGGCAGGAGTTCCTCGAATGCTCACAACGCATACACTTGGAACACCCAGACGTGAGTCGCAAATCATCATACTCGGTCATATACTTCAAATCATCCGTCGACTACAACGCACAGACGGTTTATACATCGAGTCGCCCGCGGGTTCAGCTATTTCACTCAGACGAGAAATGCAACAACAACAAATTGCAATTGACAAAAACGTCCATCTTTCAAGTGGCCGCTCGCAAGAAGAAATGTGAGACGTGCCCGAACGTGAATCCTCCACCATCACCTTTGGAATTTTGCACTCGCACAGAGTGTGAAGGAGCGTTGACCACCGTTACTGGCAAAGTTGAGGACGATCGGTCTTTCAATGGAACCTCCCTTGTGAAGGATACATTACTGGCGTTGGTTTGTTTGGAGTGTGGGAGATCTTGTTGTCCCGATTGCAAAACGAGGCACACGGAAACCCCTTGCCCAAAGGCGCGAAAGGGTGAACAAAAACATGATTGGGCAACGCGTCACTGCCCGGATTGCAGCGCATTTCTGATACGCAGGTTCTTCGAACCCTTCTTGCGTTGTCCTGGTTGCGAAGAGCCTTTGAAGAGAAATTTATGCCGCTGGTGCTTTGAAAAGCACTCGTTCGAGAATTGCAAGAACAAACTTAGAGATGACCGGGATTGCACCGCTTGCTGGGCTGGCAGGGTGTGCCGAGTGTCTTGTGAACCGGGCTCAGGTACAAGTAGCGCTTTTACCAAAGCATTGTAGTCGTGGGGACTTACCTTCGTTCCTGCAGGTCGCAGAAAGTACAACATCAAATACGGCTGCAACAATTGCGGTGCGAGCTTCGGAAGAAAGAAGGAATGTAACCATTTTGCGTTACGAAAGGGAAAGCGCTTGAACCATTGCCATCGCTGCAAGGTAGATCTTTCAGACGCCAACCACTGTAGGGTTGTCCCACAACCTAAAGTTCATTTCCAAAATAGCCCAAATAAGTTTCATTTCTGACGCCCCTGGATCCCGCGAGGAGACAAGTGTGTTGTTCACGAGTTGCCCACGTGTGTGGCAGAGCCTGCAAGAGTTTCTGAAAACGTGCATGCTCCGGAATTACACAGTTCTCGTTCCTGTCGACGCTCTGGAGATGTCTTCCCATCGCCAACCGAACGAGCAGCGAGCAATTGGAATAACAAGGTCTATAGTCTACATAAGCGAGTATCATAGCCAATCTTCGAAATTGTTGTGAAGATAGGAAGTGGGTCTAAGAATGAAGAAGCATTCAAGATTTGTCACCCCATAACATGCGATTACAAAGGACAGTGCAAGTGTACGGATAATTCTCTCCATCTGCCCTGGCTCCTTCCGTCTCCTTCCGCCTCCACACCTCCCCCTCCCTCACCCACTCACCCACCCACTCACTTACCCCCCCCCCCCCCCCCCCCCCCCACACACACACATACAGTATGTGAACATAAACCTAGATACACCAGTGATTGAGTCAGTGTCCGTGCGCAACTGCGGCGGCTGGGGCAAGGGGCTGGCCAAGGCTCGGACGCGTGTATCCAGCTTTATGTTCACATACTGTACACTACACTGACGCAACGCGCCCTCTCTCCGCCTGCCAGTCGAATCGGGTTCCTTCGTTACAGCACAATTGGGCTATGATATAGTTCATTTCACCCCCGTCCATATCCCACGCTGAGCCATGGCGGCCCGTCCCTTCCCCCACGAGGTTACGGTAGCTATTGGACGGCAGGCGGACTTAACGCGCGCTCGCTGGGACGGAGGAGGGGAGTGGACGGAAGCAGCAAGGAATGGACGAGGAAGAAGAGGGGAGGACGCAGGCCGCCACTGCGAGACTTATTGAGAGCATCAATTGATAAACGAGTGAGAGGTGTTCGACTTGGCAAGAGCATCAATTGGAGACCGACTTTGCACATCACAGTACGATTCTCTTCGTCCACTCCAGTCCGGTAGTGCTGAAATCACGGAATCGGGGTGGAGTGGGTAATCGGGCATGGCTCGACCGGGCACAGGAAGAGGGAGGAGCTGGAGTGGTCACAGCGAACTAGATTCAGCCACTGTCTCAGAGCCGCATCCACTCTACAGATACCGGAGTGGATGCTGTATATGTAGAGTGGTGATGGAGGTGACATCATGGAGTCAATCGTACCACAAATCATTGATGGTGCCTCAGTAAGGTGGGGGGCATTACAATCATCCTCCTACCGAGTAGGTGCCTCACAATTATCGCGTGCTGCCTCGGTTGGGCCTCTATTAGTGCCCGCCCTGTAGACTACTGGCATAGTGGCGGGTAGGTCCGGAGTGACGATATACCCGGACCAGTAGCGCTACGGACCAGTCTTCGGACAACGGGGCTACGATTCCGAAGCCACAGCCGAGACTACTCGGGAATACTAGGTCCAAGTAACAGTAGTCCTTGGAGGGGGTTGCAAACAGGGCCGTGTCGGTTGCTGTCAAAGCACGGGGCTGAGTGGCTTGTTGTAACAAAGTAGACTCTGTTGATGATAAAGTACAAGAGGAAGAACGACTTCTGGGGAAATGCCTTTTAAACGGGAAGGAAGAAAAGATGAAGTTCGCAGTCACGTGCAGCGTCCCGTGACCTGGATCCTTCACACCCCCCCCAAAATCACAGCCGGCTTGATTTTCACAAGACGAGAGCGTGGGGTTGTGGGGTTGGGAGGGAGGGAGGGAGAAGTTTGTTGAGGGAAGCGGGAGGTGGTCCGTTGTGATCTATCTATGGTGTCATTGTTGGTCTCTTACGGGGATGGGGGTGCGGTGGATGGTCCGAAGGCCAATGGCGTTCTTGTACGCGAGGAAGGCGATGGAGTCGGCGATTACGTCCTCTTCTACCCAGTCCGCGGTATGGGGTGATTCGCCTGAGCGACGGGCGAGGTAGAGGCGACGGCGGCCGATGTCGCGGTGTCGCAAGATTTCTGCGAAGGGGTGATCATCGATGCTCTGTGTGTATTGCGGGATGCGGGCGGTGTACAGCCGTAGGACGTCGACATGGAATACGGGATGTTGGCGCATCGTTGGGGGGAGTTGGAGTTTGAAGGTGAGGGGCTGTTCGCCGGGGTGCAGCATGGGAAAGGGTCCAAGCCAAGCTGGAAGGATTTTCAGGGCCGCTGATGGCAGGTCCTTATATTCCGGGATGTTGATCGCGCTGCGGTGAACGAGAACGTGGGCGCCTTGTCGGATGCGAGGGTCGGCCGGGGCTCGTTTCATGTCGGCGTATCGGGCAAAGCGGTCCTGGGCGTTCTGGATGCGGATCTTGGCCAATCGTGCGACGTCCGCAAGGCGGTTCGCCCAAGCGGGACCGGGGTGTTCTTGTGGCGTCTGGGTGTGGAGCGTGTGCGGTTTCAGGGGGCTGTACCCCAGGTCGGCCTCAAATGGGGTCATCCCGGTAGATTGGTTCGTTGCGTCGTTGTAAGCGAATTCGATGGCCGAGAGGTACCGCGACCAGTTGCGTCCGGAGAGATCGGGGATGCAAGCGAGCATTTGTTTGATGGTGCCGATGGCTCGTTCCGTCTGTCCATCCGTTTGTTGGTGAGCGGTGGTGGCGATCGCGGTGCGGAAGCCCAAGTAGTCCGAAACGTTGAGCCAGAATTCGGAAGTGAAGCGGGAATCGTGGTCCGTGACGAGAGTCCTGGGGATACCATGCAATCGGATGATATTGTCGACGAAGAGCTGCGCGGTTTGGGCGGCTGTGATGTCGCGACGGCACGGGGCTATGTGTACGCGTTTTGTGAGACGGTCAACCACAACCATGACCGCATCGTTGCCATTGGCGTCGACGGGCATATAGGCGAAATCTAGGGTGACATCTGACCAGCGCATTGTGGGGATCGGTAGCGGCTGCGTCATTCCGGGCCTTTGTCGTCTGGTTTTCGCTCGGAGACAGGAGTCGCAAGTGCTGGTGTATCTCTTCACATCGCGCTCGAGGTTCCGCCAGTAGAATTGTCCACGGAGGCGCTCGTAAGTGTTGAACCACCCGGGGTGTCCGGCGGCCTCTGCGGTGTGCGAGTCGTGGAGTAGCTGGGTGCGTAGGGGGGAGTCGGGGATGTACAGCCGGTTGTCATAGAACAGGAGCCCGTTCGAGTAGCGGTGGCGCCGGGTGTGGACGGTCTGGGCTTCCGTGGGCTTGTCCATCGCTTTCAAGATTTCCATCGCGTAGCTGTCGCTCGTGGTCTGCGCTCGTACGACCTCTTCCAGTTCGTTTGTGTTTGCGAGGGCGACATTCACGTATACAACTCCGCGGCATTTGTGGCATCTGGGGGCATAGTCCGGTCGACGTGAGAGGAGGTCGGCGAGGGTGTTGTGGTTGCCGTTGACGTAGCCGATGGTAATCTGATGTTCTTGTAGAAGTTCCACCCATGATGCCTGACGCCGGGATAGGTGCGGTTGGGAGCGAAGCCATGTGAGCGACTTGTGGTCGGTGAGGGCTGTGAACGGCCGCCCCCGTACGTATGGGGAGAAACATTTGACGGCTTCGACCAGAGCGAGGAGTTCGCGCTCATGTACTCCGTAGCGTGTTTGGTATGAAACGAGCTTGCGGGACCAGAAGGCCACCGGGCGGAGGGTCGGCAGAACATCTTCCCATTTCGCATTTGGGGGGATCTTGGGGCTCCCGGGTTTGGGCTGGAGTAAGCAGGCGCCCATTGCGTACCCGGATGCATCGATGGTGACGAAGAGTTGAGCGGAGGGGTCGTACCACTGGAGGGTGGGGGCGGAGGTGACGGCGTCGCGTAGGGTGTTCCATGCCGCTTGTTCTGCGGTCCCCCAGGTGAACGGTCTGTTTTTCGCAAGGAGGTTGGACAGGGGGAGCGCAATCTCGGCGTACTTGGCGATGGATCCCGACAGGTAGTTCGTGAAGCCGAGGAAAGAGCGTACCTCGCCGCGGTCTGTGGGCTGGGGCCAGTCGACGACAGTGGCGATCTTCTCAGGGTCGAGCTTCAATCCGTCGTCTGATACTACAAAGCCGCAGAAAAGGACCGATGCTGTGTAGAAGGCGCACTTCTTGAGGTTGATGTGCAACCCGTGAGCACGGAGGCGGCGAAGAACTTCCTTGAGGATGCGTCGATGCGTTTCGAGGTCGGAAGCGTAGATGAGTAGATCATCCATGTAGACGATCAATCCCTGGTCGAGCATGTCGGCGAAAATGTGATTCATGAGCTTGTTCCATGTCGCAGGCGCCGAGGTGAGGCCAAATGGCATGACCTTCCACTGGAAATGACCGAACCGGGTTCGGAAAGCCGTCTTGGGGATGTCATGCGGTGCAATGGGAATGCCGTAGTATGCGTCCGTGATGTCGAGTGTGGTAAAGTAGTTCGCGCCTTGGAGGCGGTCGCGCATCTCTACGAGGTGTGGCACCGGTGTGCGGTCGGGGATCGTCAGTTGGTTGATGGCGCGGTAGTCAATGCAAAATCGGAGGCCGCCGTCTTTCTTCTTCGCGAAAAGCACTGGCGCCCCCCATGGGGAGGAGGACGGCTCGATGTACCCTTTCCTCAGTAGGGTTTGAAGGCGCTCACGGAGCACGTCGAGTTCCGCGGCCGACATGTGGTATAGCCGCTGGTAGACTGGTTTAGCGCCGTCGCGCAACGGGATAGTGTGCTCGATTACCGGTTTCGGTTTGTCCGGGGGGTCTTTCACGGCCGCGATGTGTTCCTGGACGAGGTCGCGGACTTCATCGGGGATGTAGGTGAGGTCCGTCGGTGTAGGCTCCGTGGGTCGTGGGTTTGCGTGGGTTATATGGACTTGGGCAACGTTGTCGGGGTCCAGGGTGACTGAGCCGGCCGCTACGATTGCTCCGCCTTTCTTGACCAACCGGCGGAGTTGATGGCGGGAAATGGGGGTATCGGAGTCGTAGCCGGAGTCGTGTCCGTCTTCGGGGTGTGCTTTGGGTTTGGTGTGCGGTTTCCTCGGGATGGGGACGCCGGCGACGGCCGCGGTGGGGATGAGGTGTTCGTTGCCGCGGATGTCTTTGAGTGCCAGTGAAATCGTTGGGCCAGCGGTTACGAAGGAAGGGCAATTGGCGACGAACCATGGCAGGCCGACAATGGCGTCGTAGCGTATTGGGGCCACAATCCATGGTAATCTTTCGTCGTAGTCGTTGAGCCGCAGGTCCGCCACAGTGTACTTGGACGATGTGCCCGAAGAGTCGCGGTCGGCGTATTCCAGGGTGATCTTTGTGGGGCGTAGGGTAAAGCCGTGTTTCCGAGCAAACTGGTCGTTGAGCACGTAGGTAGTGCAGCCGGTGTCCAGCAGGATTGTGGCGAGGACGCCATTGATAAAGCCGGTGACCGTGAGAGCCGCTTCAGCTATTGCTGGGCCCGTCGTTCGTTGGTGAGCGCGAAGCTCGGCAAGGAAGGTGCGGGGTTTCGGAGGTTCAGGGGTTGGGTCCGTGGGCGGTGGATGTCGTGCCATTAGGTCGGCCACGATGGTTTCAAGTATCTCGGAGGCTTCTGTTTGAAGACATCGTGGGGCGGTGCACGCTGGGTATGCGTTCATGTCTGGGTAGTGCCGTCGCACGGGGTCCGGGGGTTTCGCTGGTTTGTCAGGTTCTTTCGGGGGTGCCGCAGGTGGGCTCAAAGGGGCTCGGTGGTTACCATCGGGAGGTCGACTTCGGTGGGAGAAGCCTGCAGAGTTCGTCGCACTCGCAGGCCTCACTGAAAATCCCCTTGGGTGGGCTGGGGATCCTCGTCCTGGGGTTCGGTGGTGATAGCGTGGACACGAGCCTTGGGGTACTTAGGGCAGTCGCTTTGCATGTGGCCGGGTTGTCGACAACGGAAGCATGCGCCTTGGTCGCGGAGCCGCTGACGCTCGTCGTTCGTAAGCTTTTTCAGGCGCTTAGTCGCGGGGCCGGTGCCCACAACGTCGATGGCCGCGCGCTTGTTCGATGGGGGCCATTGTTTCGCGGGAGGTCTCTTGTTGGCTTCGTCACGTCGTGCGCTGTCGACTGAGTAGACGCTATCGGCCAGCGTGACGAGTTCCGCCAGGGACATCGTGAGGCTAGAGGGGTTGGCGGCAAGCAACCGTTGGATGCCGGGACGGAGGCCTTTGCGGAAGGCGCGGCAGGCCTGCTTGTCTGTCATCTCCGGGATTTCGAGGAGGAGTGCTGAGAACCTTTGGTAGTATTCGTCGACGGAGCCGGTCTGGGTGAGGCGTTCGAGGGCCAGGAGCGCGTGCTCTTCTGCGTTGGGTGGGATGAAGCGGTTGCGGAGCCGGTCTTTAAACGCTTCCCACGTAAGGATGGTGGATTCTTCTTGTTCGTACCATCGCTCGGCGGTATCCTTGAGTTTAGAGGCGGCCAGCGAGATCTTCATGATATCCGGGACCGCCGGGGTTGCGGCGAAGTATCGGTCGAGGCGGGTCAGGAACTCGTTCGCGGATTTGGTCGACCGAGACATGCCGTCGAACGTAGCGAGGCCTTCGCGGAGAGACTTGGCGATTGGGCCCTCGGCGACGAAGTTGGTTGTGTCGCTGCGTTCTTGTAGCTCCGGCGGGGTGACCGGGGAGGGGAGATGGGATTGGGCGGGCGAGGCCAATGTGCGGTTTACAGGGCGGACGTTGCTGAAGGTAAAAGGAGAGCGGGGTGTGGGTTGCTGTTGGGTCTGCTGGATCTGCTGAGTAAGGAGACGTTCCAGGCGCTTGGTGTTGTCGTGAGATTCTTTCAGGAGGCGATGAAGGCTGGCCTGACGGGCGAGGAGCTCGGCTTTGTCGGCAGCGGCCTGCTCGCGGGTCTCGTTAACGACCTCGGCGAAGCTTGACTCCATTTTGGCCATGAGTTGGAGGAGGCCTTGGGGGCTGAGCTCTTCGTCGTCGCCGCTGTCCTCGTCTCCCTGCTCGTCTTGTTGTTGGTCTAGTTCGTCGGTGTGGGTCAGGGCGTGGGAACCTTGGCCGGCGTAGTGGTCGTCTGGGCTTTCTTCCTCATCGTTGTCGCGGTTGTCCTCGTCGTCGTCGCGGTTGTCGGCCCGAGCGCTGACTGGGGAGGCGGGAGGCTCGTCGTCGTTGTGGACAGGGCGGGTGTCGTCGGCGGAGCTCGGATTTTCAGACTCCGCTTGTTGCTGCGCTTTGGTCTTGGTCATCTTCGTGCGTTTGGTCATGGTGTTGGGCGGGAACCTTCCGATGGACTCTCAACAATCAAGGGGCTGCGTTGGCGGGGTCGTCGTCGTCGTTCTTGTTCGAAGAAGGGTGGTGCTACCATGTAACAAAGTAGACTCTGTTGATGATAAAGTACAAGAGGAAGAACGACTTCTGGGGAAATGCCTTTTAAACGGGAAGGAAGAAAAGATGAAGTTCGCAGTCACGTGCAGCGTCCCGTGACCTGGATCCTTCACACTTGTCCTTGTTCGGGATCATGCGGCATCATGTCGCAGTGCGGCTTAATTATTGATAAGTTTGTTCAGCTTTTTGGCCTGCAAATTTTGCGATCTTTTTAATTACTGTAGGGTCGGCCTCACGAACCGCCTCAATTTCATGCCGGCTTGCCGCCGCCGACAGTTCCTGCTAGTCCTGCTTACACTAACTGCAGTTTTCGCCCTAGATCTAGAGACCGTTTTCGCCGCAGAAGAGGAGGTGCCGTACGTACTACTTTTACGCATACACTAGGTTGACGCTTCGCCGGCAGTCGTAGTTCCCGACGGAACACTTATCACTGTTGTAAGCCTTCTCAAGCCACGACGCGGGCGTTGTACACGGAAGAGGAAGGCCGGCGTACCGTCAGCTCATAATCAATAAGTATAATGGATAGGTCAAGCCGCAGGTGAGGGCGCAGGACGGACTGAATCCTCGACTCTCGCTCATCGTTTTCTTTGGTCCTTGAGCTCATTCGCCCTTGTGTTTTATTTTTCCAGCGCATCCTTCCTTGGCGACCTCCAGCACGGCCCTATGAGCTTAACACCTTTCGAAGACCGGTCCCGGGCCATTCCGGACACGCAGAATGGAGCCCTCCTCGAACAAGCCAATGGGGCCATGCGAAATCTTGTCCAACTAGCGTCCGCCCCGACAGACTACTGGAAGACAATCTACTCCGACAAGACCGGGGCCACTGTTTCTTTGTCACCAAAGCAGAAAAATCATATTCGGGTATTCAAAGGAGAGACGATGATCCACGGTTTTTCTCCCGAGGCGATTTTCGCTTTGATCAGAAATCGACGCTTGTGGGATGATTGGTATCTGGACGGAAACACTGTGGAAGAGCTTAACGACAACACGTCCTTAACTTATATGGTCATGAAACCTCAAACTGCTCTATCGACTGTCGCGTCCACTCGCGATCTTGCTTTGGTTGATCAGCGGACCCTTGATCCCGAAACTGGGGGGATCTATTACGCTAGCACATCCGTGGAGACTCCAAAGATACCCCCGAAAAAGAGCTACGTGCGCGTCGGCCTCAAACTCAATGCGTGGACTTTAGAGCCCAAGATGGCCTCTCACGGCTCTGTCAGCACACGGGTGGTATACTATCTACAAAGCGATGTCGGTGGTTTAATTCCCGGTGGGCTGGTTAAGAAATACCTGACCAAGCGCGCGATGGTAGTCGCAGGAATCGAGCAGTACCTCAGGAAGCACGGTGTACCGGAAATGAGCGCCAGTGACGCCGACGCGTTCAGGAAGCTGGCTCGATCATATTCCGTCAACAGCTCGATGCGCCCAAACTCGTTTGGGGAGCCCTATGCCTCAGCGCAACCTGGACTAGAACACGCTCGTTACATACCCCAAACTGACATGTCTTTGCAGAGGTATGTTTCACTCGCTTACTTCTGAGTAACGCTTGCGAATCTCAATCTTTGTTCCATGCTCCAGGAACGTGCATCAGGCTCCGTTTTATAACATGCCGCAGGAACGTGTGGGCTCGAGGTACTCGCAGCATCTAGGCGCGGGTGTTGGCGCATATATCGCCTCCCGTACTTCGCTGGACGGCGATTTTCATGATGAATCTGATACGGAGACAATCGCTGAGAGCACTTTGAATGACGAGGCGCGGGCCGTTGAAGCTCCGCGATCGATTACGCCGGAGATCCAAGAAGATGATTATTCCAAGACGACTAACCCTCATCACGCGGCAGCCGAAAACGCTTTGCAACGGTCAATGGAACTGGAAGCCGACGATGCCGGGTTCGTTCTCCACTCGATCAACAACGGAGTGCGCATTTCCCAGAAAACGGTACCCGGAAAAACGATGCCTATTGTTCGTGGTGACGCTCAATTGGAGGGGGCTTACACCACCCAAGAAGTTTTGAGCGTCTTAAAAAGCGCCGCGGCAAGGAAGAGTTGGGATGCCCGTTTTGAAGACGGCAAACCACTTGCCCTCTATAATCTCGAGGAGATCCTCACTTATAGTCAGCAGAAGGGTACTTTCCCTGTGTCAGGTCGAGATTTTGTCACAACCAACTTGATACGCTTCGTCGGAGACACCATTTACTATGTTGCCACGAGCGTCGTCGAGCCTACGGCTCCTACCAATTCGAAATTGGTCAGAGCAGAGTTGCAAAACGCGACGTGGATCTTGAGGAGCACCCCCAATGGGGTGCAGGTGCACTACATTGTTGACGTGGACATCAAAGGCTCTGTTCCATCATGTGAGCTATTTAGTCCGCAACGCCCTGAATTCCGAAGTTCCGAAACTAATCAATTCCTTATCGCTGTAGCTATTGTGAAGGCCGTCTCGGTCCAAACACCCCTGTGCATTTTGGAAGTGAAGAAATACCTTGACGCCAATGGGCCGATACCATTCATTCCACGTAAGGTGGCCGGTGTTGATCCTGGTCGGCACCTCCAAATCCGCCAGGAAAGCTATGACCCGAAGACGAGGTCCTACCACCTGGAGTACAAGAAGACCGACGAACACGGAAGCTCCGTATTTGTCTGCCTTTCGCAGAAGGCTTACAAGAATGGAGCCAAGGTGACCTTTTCTCCGAAGGAGGGTGCGATTGTGGAGAGGATCAACCCAAGTGGAATCAAGGGCATTAGCACTGCCATCAGCGTGGATGCCAGTTTCCTGATCCGGATCACTGTCGAACGAAGCTCGGACGTGGACATCAGTTTCGCCGTTACCCAAGCCAGCTCAGGGGGGGTTGGATGGACCCTCAACGGCTGTCAGATGACTTTTGGTGAGACGAGAATTGCCCAACGATCTCCTGCAGCATCGCATCTCCAGCCCGCAGAGCGCAGAGCGACTGCGCCTGCCATTCCGGCAAGTATGGGTGCATCAGTGGCGCGCTCTGCAGAAATCGTCGACCAACCCATGCAAATCACACCGCCGGAGTCCCCGAAGGCGCAATTATCTGCGCCGAAGATCACATACGTTCCGCATCGGCACACTCAATCGGGCGTGAATGCCCTGAAGCACCTCAAAACGCTACTTGGTGACGAGGCCGCCTGGAAGTTCCACTCAGAGCAGCAAGGCATCAAAATCTCTACCATTGATGCTGGTGGCACTATGCCTGTTGTCCGCGGTGACGCCACTTTCCCTGCTGACATTACCGTCGACCAAATTCTCAATACAATTCGTTCCAGCGGAGCCAGAAAGATTTGTAAGTTGCTCGCAAGGACAACCGTATGGTCGCAATAGTACGCATGCTAATCTGGGAATTTTATGTACCATTAGGGGACGCTCGCTTCGAGGGGGGTCGTATGGTGGAATGGTTGAATCCCAACGAAGCTCTGTATCACACGATGCAAAAAGGCCAGTTCCCCGTGAGCGGCCGTGACCTTTCCGCTCTCAACGTCACCGTGTGCGACTCCCGATCGTCCACCACATACGTCGTTGCCACAAGCGTCGTTGACCCCCTCGTGAAACCCGAACCCAAACGTGTCAGGGCGGAACTCAAGGTAGCTGGCTTCATCTGTAACGCCATACCACAGGGCGGCGCCCAGCTAAGCTACATCGTCGATATCGACGTCAAGGGATCTATCCCATCCGCCATCGTGAAAGCGGTATCGATTCAAACTCCTCTTTCTCTTCACGAGATCATGAAGTACATTCAGACCTACGGATCACCTCCCTCAGTCAAGGTCCTTGGAAATACCGGGGAAGGCGTCAAGATTACCCTCGAGAGCGAAGAGTTTGAACCGAAAACTGGTGCTTATACTTTCGCTTACGCGGCAGCCGTGGACGGAGATGCGGCGCAGTCTCCAACTATGGCCGCTGGTCTCGTCGAAATCCAGGTTGACCCCAAGACCTACCCGAACGGGTGTGATGTGTCGATCTCCCAGTCCGTTGCCTCCAAGTTCCTGCGGATTCGGAGCGCCGACCGCTGCATCCGGTTTTATTGTGAAGTCGACAATGTACGTCTGGCTGGGAACATCAAGATTGATGTTCAGCTGTCGAAGAAGAAGAGCGGGACTCCCGGGCAGCACACACTCAATGGCATACCGATCACTGCAGACAGCACTGCTCCCGCGACCGGCGGAAGTGCCGCGCCCGCAAAGCGTGCTCAAACCATCACCTCTGCCACCACTGCTGGCGTACCCATGCTGGTAGCCCCTCCGCGCACTGTTCGCAAAGCACCAGTGCAAACCGCCACGCCTCCCAACGAACGTGCAGATGAGAAGGCTGCGAAACATGCGACCACCGAAAGTGCGACCCTTTCTCCCAATATCACCACAAACCTGCCCCCTAGCGTCATGCGCTCGTCACCTCCAGTTGGCACGAATACTCAACCCTCCGGAGCGACTACCTATGTTCTAGCGTTCATATCTATGGTCCTTCGTTTGCTGCGACCCTTCTTGGCACCAGGTGCCGCCCCACTTGCAAGCGATGTCGATCCCTTGGACCTGCGCGCGCAAGTGGCTGGAGCGGATCCTCTTCGCTTGTTGGGACTCGTCGTCGTGAACATTGGAATCACGTTCTTTTCGATCAGATGGGCCGTCAATGGACTCCTGCGAATTTGCTCACCCACTCAATGGGGCGTTCTGGTAACGCTCTCAGTGGCGGCGTACGCGTATACGAAGCGCGCATAGTGCAAGGGTTTCTTCAGTTTTCAACATTCAGTTTCAGTAGGACACTTCCGTTTCATTTGACTAATTCCGCTGACCGGCGTACTTGTTTAGACCTAGTAAATTCCCCCTAGTATTAGAATTATTGTAGAGCTTTCCATCGTATAATCCTCAATATCATGCACAGTATTCATGTTTCGATCTGCTTTGCGGCGATTCTGCGTGCTCGAAGGTCAAACGGTCTCGACGGTAACTGTACCGTGTACGCTTTGGACGACTACATATACAATGCAGACTGCTACATGTACATAGTAGGTACAATGAAATGCGCGTGAGCGCGATGTGTGTGAGTCACACTGCGTTACTATAAGCGTTACTGGTCTTGCGTTACTGGCCTTCACAGTACACGCTTCCCATAGTACACCACATATGATCCCATATGAATGGACGCGTCAATGCGCGCAATTTAACAGAGAATTCGATTTTGATGATAACACTTAACAATTGATTAGGGCAATCGATTTTTCATTTTTTAAGGCAACAGATTAGCCTCATGATTAGCTTCCACACACTCCCCCAATTAAAGGATGTTATATATAAGACAGCCTGCAGACGCTCCCCCTCACGTTTCCCCTATGCTTTCCACAGCACTTCTACGCCATCTTCAACACATCACACACACATCACACCGTCTCTCTTCTCTCCTTTGCAACGCCACGCACTGTAAGTAAGCTGAGGATTATTGTGTTTTTGAACCAGAAGGGCTGGAAAGCGTCGAAAAACGGCGTTATTCCCAGCTTGTCAGAGTTTTGACAGCTTGACTGACGTGACTGACGTTTGTTCAAAAGTTTAGGTATACCAACACACCCTGCCCTCATCATAAGTGAGTATGGCTTCTTCTTCTTCGGCAACGGGACGGGGACCCAACGACAACGGGGAGGGGGATATGGGGATGGCCATGTACAACCTGTCAGAAATGCACTGGCAGATGGGGCAGGAGGAGACGGAGACGACGATCGCCGTCTTCCGTTACCTCTGGAACCTCTATGACCCAGTGATTGTTACCCGCATGGTCGATGGCCACCAGGTCGAGTTTTACTGGTGGTCACTCAACCAATCGAGGCACATCAGGACGCTGCAGAGGCGTGCCCGCTCGGCGGCGGCCTTCCGCCTCTGTTGAGTGGATTCAGAGGCGCGCATCTACCACGAGGGGAAGCAGGTCAACGGGGTGATGCTGAGGAAGGATTGGGTCAGGGGTACGTATCTTCTCGACAAGCGGAGGATTAATGCGTTTTTCGACGTCCCCGGCGTGCGCGCGTTGAAAAATCGCATAAACCTCAGCTTGTCTTTGTTTTGTTGCTGCGTTGAAGGGCAATAACAATAACCGTGTTCTTCTCTCAGATTGCTTGAGGATCCACCCATTGGACGCAGAGAGGCTGAGGGATTGGATGTTGCCAGCATGGGACGACACCGCACTATGGCCCCTTGGCCATCTCTGCAAAGGGGCCTCCGTTGCACACAGCATCCATCAGACATGGGATGCTCCCGTCTTTCCGCCACCGCCAATCGGCCCAACCGCAACCGCCGCAGCCACCGCCCCCTCCCCAGGCGACTACCTCCAGCCATGGTTGTCCTTCCAGGACACGGTTGTTGAGGGAATGCGTAGCCCTTCGTCCGAGGTTATCAATGAGGCTGAGGACATCTTCGAAAATACGGAGCAGATGAAGGAATGGCCGAAGCAAATGGCCGAATACTATAGCTGGAAGAAAACCAAGGATGCTGAAGCCGATGAATAATATGTTCCATATCATGCCATTTTTGAATATATTCTGATCTTTGGCCTCTTCTTTCCTTTTCTCAATTAACATCAGAATATGTTCAACCCACGACCCCCTGCACCGCCCGGTTCTGCCAGAAAACTGGCCTTGGATGCTCCACGCCGTCTTCCAAATCGCTCAAATAGCCCTGCATTAATTCCCCAATCTAGAATTGATAATGTCACAGGAACTTGGAAGGTGGGTTTTGAACAAGCTGAGAGAACCTTGATTTTCGCCGTCCCCGGTCTGGAGAGGGTTCAAAATGGCACTAATCTTCAGCTTGGTACGTCAGGTTGGTTATCCACCAAAGTCCACGTTCCCGAAGGCGCTGACTCTGCGACGAAGAAGGGGCGGATATCGGTTGGGCGAGTTGGCAGAGGCCGAGATCAAACACTATGCCCATACATACGGGTCGGTGATCCTGAAGTCGTCCTTCAGGAAGTTGATAGAGGAGATCGACTATGAAGTGTCCCAGGCTCACAATCAGAGCATCACAACAACCCCGGGGGCGACACCGTTCTCTGAAAGGCATCGCTGGTACCAAGAGGCAGTCGATGCCCTCCAGGAGGCCGCTGAGACATACATCAGCGCCCTCTTCTCAGACTCCATCATGCAACAATGGCATGCAAAGCGTCTGACTCTGAACAAGGACGACGTGAGTACTTGTTTGTCATTCAACGCATTCCAGTTACCCAAGCTGAAGATAACGCCGCTTTTGAAGTCTCCGGGGAGGGGGACGTTCAAAAAGCCATTAATCTTCAGCTTGGCTTGTGTTCCACACTGATTGATTCTCTTTTTGACAAATAGTTTCGGATGGTCCGGTACTTCCGGAAGCTGCTGAGTGCTTCGGAGCGGACCAATTACCGTAAACGTCAACATCTGATGGAATTGAAGAGGACCCAACAGGCGTGGACGAGGTTGTGGTCGTCGTCGTCATGGCCAAAGCCAAAGCCAAAAGCCTCGGCATCGACGTCGAAGCCGCTGAAGGCCATAGACCTTACGCTTGCTGAGGACAAAGCCGTGAAGGCAAAGAGGGAACGGGCACATAAGAGGGCTGAGGAAAAGAGGGAGGCTGCCAAAGGGGGGAAGGGGGAGGGCAGGGAGATCGATACCGACGATGAACTGTCGGATGAGGTGAGTGGCCAAGAGAAAGTTTCTCATATCATGACACCAATACTGACTTTCTAGGAGGAGGGCGAACTTGGCGGACGAGAAGACACGCCGGACCTTGGGGAGTACGAGAAGGGGATGAATGCTCTCGGAAAAGGAGGGAAGGGGGACGGCAGTGTTATGAATGGGCGGAGCCGACGGAAATAGAGGCGACTTGTGGTGCAGGTTGTTGACAGGTAATGGTATTCAGACCGAAACAAGAACTAGAACAAGACTAGGAAGAACTGGTGTTGATCTGCTGGGGGATCAGGAAGTGGGGAGCTCAGGGGAGGCGGCTATTTATGCTTTTCTGGGAAGGCTGGGGAAGCGTGGGGAAGCAGAAGGGTACGGAATGAGAGGAAAGCCAAGAGAAGCGCCAAGGGTGGGGGAAGCATAGAAACAGAAGACTGGGGATGGGGTGGCTACGCTGAGGCTGTGGGCGGGTACGTGGGGAAGTATGGAGAAGGGTTTGTAAGCGCCGAGTGTTGGGAGGTGTGGCTACGTGCGGCTGCGTGGAGAAATGAAGGCAGTGGCAGGTGTGGGGTAGCGCGGCTGCGTGCGGCTGCGAGGTTTGGCAGATGTCAGGTTTTGACAGGGAATTGACATTGACTGACTGTTGGGATGCTGTCATGAGGTAAGCGCATGGTATGGACGCGTCGTCCATAACATCACCCCCTCCTTTAGCCACGGCGTCCGGATGTTGTTTTGATGTTGGCAGGCTTTGGTCGGGGTTTGTCGGGGTACTTTTGGTGGAACTGGGCAACAAGCTCTTGACAGCGGGCAAGGTGTTCCACTGGCTCCCATGTATTCTCCGAGCTTGGCCAACCCTGCCACTTGATGAGGTACTGAAGGTGCGTGCGTCGAATACGGGAGTCAAGAATGTCTTCCACAATCCATTCCTCCTGTCCTTCAACTTCTTCTGGTGGGGTGGGTTCTGGCTCAGTTCGCTCCGGAATGGTGAAACGTGGTTCAAGAAGGGAGACATGGAAGACGTTGTGAATTTTGTAGGATGGGGGAAGCTTGAGGCGATATGTGACCAAGTTGATCTTCTCCGTGATTGTGAAGGGGCCAATCTTACGGTGATCAAGTTTCTGGGAAGGTCGGAGAGTCTTGAGATTCCGCTGTAAGAGCCAGACACTGTCCCCGGGTTTCATGTCTGGGCCAGGTGCCCTCTTAGCATCGGCAAAGCGCTTCATGCGTCCTTGGGCCTCCTTGAGCTCAGTGGCGAGCTGTTCATGGATTTCCTTGAGATGGTTGGCACGAGCTTCGGCTGCAGGATTAAGGGATTCGGTTGTGGTGGCGGAAGCCAGACTGAATCGAGGATGGAACCCATAGTTGGCGTAGAAGGGGGTTGTCTGGGTGGCGGAGTGGATGGTGTTATTGTAAGAGAACTCAGCAGAAGACAAGAGTTTTTTCCAGTTATCTTGTTGATAGTTGCAAAAGCAGCGAAGGTATTGCTCAAGAATCATTGGTCCGCTCGGTTTGTCCATCGCTCTGGGGATGGAACGCCGATGAGAGGTTGACCTTGGTTCCCAGGAGAGCGAAGAGACGTTTCCAGAAGTGGGAGTTGAACTGTGGGCCACGGTCAGATACAATATCGTCGGGGAGTCCATGGAGCCGGATGACATGGTGCCAGATCAGATCTGCAGTTGACTCAGCGGTGGCAGTTTTCCTGCACGGTACAAAGTGCGCCATCTTGGTGAACCGGCAGATGACAACGAGCACAGAATCAACCCCATCACTGGCGGGTAGATCCGTGATGAAGTCCATGGAAATTGACCCCCAGGGGCGGTCAGGGACCTGCAGGGGTTGGAGGAGTCCGTAGGGCTTGTGTCTGCTGGTCTTGGCTTGAGCACATACGTCGCAGGACCTGATGTAGGACTTGACAAAACGCCACTGGCTAGGCCACCAGTAGTTGCGTGAGATGAGCTCCAGGGTCTTTGACATGCCGTAGTGTCCTGCCAAACGCGTGTCATGCATGTCCCGGCAGATCTCAGCACGGAGCTTGTTGGTGGGGACGTAGACAAGGTTGTCGTACAGCAGAACCCCATTTTCCTCGGAGAATCGCTTTATCCGTTCTTGGTCTTCTTGAGATTGCTGGGCAATGGGGGCCCTAAGCTGTCGCCGGATGGTTTGCGCAAACACATCGGATGCCAGGGCAGCTTTGATTTGGTCAAGGAGCGAGGAGTCCAGTGGGGTCAGATAAGTGGCGGCCAGGCGGAGATGGTCAGGGGTGAGGATCGTGGTTTCCTGGGAGCGGAATGCTTCTTCCCCCTCCCTTAGCTCGTATTCAGAGCGACGAGAGAGGGCGTCAGCTTGGTGTTGCTGGGTACCAGGGCGGTATGTGATGACAAAGTCGAAATCAGCAAAGAAGATTGACCATTGGGATTGGCGGCGGTTGAGGGTACGGGTAGTCATGAAGTACTGGAGGTTCTTGTGGTCACAGTAAACGATGACCTTGTGGCGGGCACCAATGAGGTGGTGTCGCCATTGAGCAAATGAGTCTTGGATAGCCAGGAGTTCCTTGTCGTAGATCTCATAGTTGATTTCCTCAGGAGTAAATTTGCGGGAGTGAAAGGCCACGGGGTGGAGTTGATCTGTGTCATCGGGTTGAAGGAGGACGGCGCCAAGGGCAAAGTCGGAGGCATCGGATTCGACAATGAAGGGCTTGTCAGGGTCGGGGTGAGTCAGGATAGGTGCGGAGGTGAAGGCTTTCTTGAGGGTTTCAAAAGCTAGGTGTGCAGCGTGGGTCCATTTGAATGGCAAGTCTTTGCGAGTGAGCGTGGTCAGGGGTGCAACGATCGCAGAGTACCCTTTGATGAATCGCCGGTAGAAGTTGGCAAAACCAAGGAAGCGCTGGATGCCTTTGACATTCGTCGGGGGTTCCCATTCGGTAATGGCAGCCGTCTTCTTTGGGTCCATGGAAATGCCTTGCTGGGAGATGATAAACCCCAGGAACTCAACAGAGTCACGGTTGAATTCGACATTTTTCCGGTTTCGCATACAGCCCGTGCTGGCGGAGTCGTGAGAGCACCTCTCGGACGTGGTTGGGGTGGTCTTCTGGGTTTTTTGAGAAGATCAGAATGTCGTCAAGGTAGACCACAACAAAAACGTCGAGAATGTCACGGAATATGTCGTTCATGAGGTGTTGGAATACTCCAGGGGCATTGGTGAGCCCAAACAGCATGACATTATACTCGAATAGGCCGTAAGCGACATCGGAACGCTGTCTTCCATTCATCCCCTGGCCAGATCCGAAGAAGGTTGTAGGCTCCCCGGAGGTCAATCTTGGTGAGCCGGCGTGCCCCTCGAAGACGATCCATGATGCTGTTAATCAAGGGCAAGGGATAGCGATTCTTGATGGTGATATTGTTGAGTCCACGATAGTCGACGCACAGACGGAGGGAACCGTCCTTTTTCTTGACAAAGAGGACTGGGGCACCGGCAGGAGACTTGGAGTGCTTGATGAACCCCTTAGCTAGGTTCTCTTCAAGGTAGTCACAGAGTGCCTGCATTTCAGGCTCGCTGAGACTACAGATCGGGCCGAACGGTGGCTGTTTGCCCTCTTCTAAGTCGATGGGACAGTCGTAGGGTCGGTGCTCTGGGAGGGTATCCGCGTTCTTCTTGGCGAAGACGTCCGCAAAATCTTGGTATTCTTCAGGAATGATGGCCTTCGGATCTTTTGGAGGAGTGGTCGCCAGGGCTTGGGAATCTGACTTGGTCGGATTGGCGTAGGCAATGAATGCCTGGTCATGCCTTGCCGCCACACGGAAAGCTGGGGCGCTGATAAACGATACGTGGATCGGTGTGGGTGCTGGGTCCAGTGTGTTGGGTGTCTGGGCTAGGGAGACTGAAATCTCGTCTTGATGGATACGGATCAGAGGTTCAGGGGATTCTTGAGGGCTTCGGGCTAGGTTCTGTTGGCAGGGCATCCCAGGAGGCGTATTGTCCAAAACCGCAATGGCAGCGGACGCAAAGAGTGCGAGTCTTCCAGTGTAGCTCCACATCATGGAGCTCAAACCAGGGAAGCCCCAGGATGATTGGCGCATGCGGGGAGCATGTCACATGGAATACCACCTCCTCAAAATGGTCGTTGACCCACATGCCCAAAGGTTGGGTGTGATGGGTAATGGAGCCCGCATGGCTGGGACGTCCGTCAACCAGTTCAAGCGCAATGGGGTCCTCCTTCTTGACAAGTGGGATGCGGTGCTTGCGGGCATAACTTTCGTCGATGAAGCACGACATCGCACCGGTGTCAAGTAGTGCTGAAAGCTGAACTGGAGCTCGCTGGGCCGATATCTGCAGGGTAACAGGGTACTCGAATGGTGAGGATGGGCCCAAAATCCGCATGGGTGAGGGTATCTCAGATCGGAGATTGACATTGTTGGTGGTCAGGAGAAGGGTGTTGCTGGAGATGCCAGGATCGGAGCAAGGTTTTGTGGCTTCTCCCTTGGCAGTACTTGCGTGGTGAGAAGACCCGGGACAGGTGTTGCCCAGCTGCTCGGCCTTTACTGCAGCTGGACTCGGGCAAAATCCTGGATGGGTGCAGGTTCCTTAACCGCGACATTCGCCGTGCGTATCTTGTTTGGGCAGAGTTTGGCTATGTGGCCAGGTTTACCACAATAGAGGCAAAGTTTGTTTGTGATGCGGTGTTGGCGCTCTAGCGGTGTGAGGGGTCCTCGCGGACGAGCAGCGTCAATGACCATAGGGTCGTCTGGGC